GCCCTCCTGGCCCATGGGGGGTCGGAGGCGGCGGCCTCCGAGGCCCAGGACGCGGAAAGCCTGTAAAACACAAGGAAAATGAGCCCCGGTCCCCCCATAGGGGGTGGGGGCACCTGTTCTGGGGCCCCCGGCCTCGCCCCCAGGGATACATGTATATATATATATATATATATATATGTGGATACGTATATATATATATATATATATATACACTATAAATGGATACGTGGATGTGTATACATATATATGTATATATATATATATCGATCGACAGATAGATCGATATACATATAGAGAGAGAGGGAGAGAGAGAGAGAGGTATTGGGAATATATAGTTCGATCTGTAGGCCGAATGATAAGTAGGACAGTTGAACAAAAAAGTAACAAGGAACTCAGAGCCATTGCAAATCCAACGCCTCCCCCTTCCCCCCCAACCTCCTTATCACCCGTAGGGTGGTCCTATCGGTATCGCTTCACGAGCGGTGTGGCCAAAAAGCGCCCGCCACGACGCATACACTTAGTTCGCTGGGGTGACACCGATCACTGACGCCCGCCTGGAGGGCTGTGCAATCTGCTGGGCGGAGCATACAAGTATCCCAACACATGGAATCATCGTGCGATCGGGGCTGGGCGAGTGCGCCTTTTCGGCCCGCTTCCCCACGATGGCGCGGCGATCCCAGAAAGATGCCGCGACCACTGGCAACGAAAGAGCGGATAGGGTCAACCCGTATAAGAAGAATGCGCGGTAAGGTTGCATGGGCCTTAAAGGGCCATACCAACGTTTTCCGAACGAGGTTTGCCAGCGAACGTCGCTAAGGATGGGCCGAGTAGGGCAAGGATGCAAGGGCAATCTTGGAAAATGTCTCATCCTTTCTATGCGGGGTGACTGTACAGCGGGGAGAACCGCGAATGTCAGAAGGCAATGGGCCGCCGTGACAGGAGGGGCCGGGTGCCAGCGGAGGGCAACTGCTGGAGCGTGGAGGATGGACAGTGCGCTTGTATAGGCTCGGCGACGAGGCCGACGCCAATGCCCACTCACGGGGAGCTTCTGGGATCTGCCTGCGGTTGACGGCGTGTGCGAGTTCAGGATTTGCCAGCATGCCAGCCGACCCTCGTGGGGGGTCGCCCCTGATGGTTGGGGGGTCCCCATGGGAGAAGACGGCACAATGCAGCAATACGAAAGAAGGAGAAGGGAGAGGACGAGGAGGAGGAGGAAGAGGAGGAGGAGGAGGAGGAGGAACACTCATGGCCCATGGCTTATGGTGATGCTGCCCATCTCTTTCCTCCCCTCGGGTCCCTGTGACGCGGGCCGATCCTGCCGTGACCCTTCCCATCCGTCGCTCTTCCTCCTCTTGCCGCCTATCTCTGTGCCCTCTCTGGCGTCGGCGCACCCGATCACTGAACACTGAATACGTGCGCGTACTCCAGACGCCCGTCCTCTGGGCTGCTGGAGGGCAGCATGAAGAAGATGTGTTAGAAGACGGTTGGCTTGAGAGCGATAGCACCCGCTTGCCCAAATGAAACACGGTGGTTCCCAACGTCCACTGCGAAATCACGGGTGCATCGATGAAGGAGGAGGAGGACCAAACAGAGAGAGGAAGGAATGACCGCTCTTCTTATTTCCCGCATAACGGTCGTTACCCGGGGGGGAGGGGTTTGGGTGGGAAGGTAACGGTAATGGCGGCCGCGGCGTGCAACCGCCAGGGTGCGCCCGTGCCACCCTCGTATCAATCGCAAGTGTGCGCCAGAGCATGTGTGAAGGGGACCCAGGACACACAAATAAATACACACAAATACAGAGATTCCCAATATTTTCCAACACGTTCAGGGTTTCTGTCTTCCCCCCCACTTCCCGTATTTAACGATATTTTCCTGGGAATCGACGATTCATCGTGTCTGTGTGTTTTTTCCCTCCTGACTGTGAGGGGGGGGGGGGCGGTCCAGGCCACCGACGTCGCGCGCGATCGTCAGCGCTGCCCGGGCATGGGGGTGGGTTTGGCCCCGGCAACGAGCGCTATACCCCGGGGAGGAGCAACAAAAGCTCACGAGAACGCTAAGATCAAGTCGGGCCTGTCCCCCGACGAACAATAAAAAATGCTCCCACAATAATCAAAATATAATCAAAAAATAATCCAGGGACTATTGTTTGAGCATTTTGGAATTTTTCTGGGGTATTTTCCGAGTACTTTTAATTTTTCGTCGAAAATCCCCCCTGTATGGGGGACACGCCCGACATAAGGCTGAGCACGAGAACGAGATCGAGAACCCCGGGCCCGGGCTAGGGGGGAGCCAAACTCTGCACACCGGCGCATTTTCTGGCACTGCACCGGCACGTGCACAGCAAAGCGGATCCTGGTGTACACTTGATCCCAATGCATACATGTGTCGCCGTCCCCCGGGAATCGGAAGAAGCATAGACCACACCACCCCGACGTCGCCCCCGACCGTCAAGCAGTCCTGGGAGTGACGAACAGCCCGCAGCTGGTAGTGTGTGCTCCAATTTCGACCAGCTTTCCGCCTCCGGGTACTTCGCCTCCGGATTCCTGTCCAAGGCGTTCCTTTGCATGCACTTCGCTTTCAACACAGCCTGATCCTGGGGCTTTGCCCTCTCTTGGCCTTGACATGAGGCCCCGCCTTCTTTTTCCCTTCCTCTCTTAATTAAAGCTGTGCGCGGCCCGCTTAGCTTCGACCGGAAGAGGCTCGCTCTCGACCCGCGAATCAAAAAAGTATGCTCCAGTTTCCGACCCGAGTCGTCCGCTTGGATGCCCGACGCGAGGACGGAGCACGCGGAGACGACGCCCAGCAGAGAGCGCTGCCCCAGCAGAACAGGCCGCGGCCGCGGGGCCAAGCAGGCAACGGGGGCCCGAGGGGAACCACGCCCGCGGCGGCAGCGAGAGCGGGTCCTGTCTGAAGGCCGCCAAGGGGCCTGGGCTGGCGGGAAGAGGTAAGACTTCGAGCAGGGGACCGACTGCAGAATCGAGCTACCCCAACATTCAGTGCCTCGTCGAGTCTACGGCGAATGCATCGCATGCCCCGTAGATTTAGATGCCATCTGCGCATCCGTCGTAGATTCGATGGGGGGGAATCGGTTTTGGGTAAGTTAGTTCTGTCGTCGATCCCCTGCTCGAAGACTCGGGTTCGGGGGACTCGGATTGGCCTGGCGGGACCATCATGGAAAGGACGAGACCCAGCCCGAAATTCGACGCGAGCTCCCGCTGCAATATTTCACGACAACTGGATCGTCAAAACCCAAGACGCGATCAGATAAGCGTCAGCAAACCGGAGTTCTGGCATACTCGGGTCTCACGTTTCCCCGAAACAGGTCGGGACCCCAGAATCGGCGGCGAGCGGGGGGGGAAGCGAGAAAGAGAAGGCCTTCTCAGAAGGCGGCGGGACTTCTCGGAAGCGCTCCGGCCTTCCGAGAAGAGTTCTGTCTGTGTCTTCGGCGAGGGCTCAGAAAACTTCTTAGAAGGCCGGAGGACGTCCGAGCCATCTGAGAACACCTCCTTCTTCTCACTTCCCCCCGTCGCTCGCCGCCGACAGAAAATCTGCCAGGAAAAGATATGAAGCCACATCCTCTCAAAACCAATCCCTGGACCCCTCCTGGGTTCCACCTGGTCGAACCTTGCACCCCGGATCCGTCTCTGACGGACCCGGGGCCTGAACCCCCCCCCGGGGGCAGGCATCTTCTCGAACCCAGCGCCTCGGACCTCGCACCCCCCTTCCGAGCAGGGGATCGACTACAGAATTGGTTTGCCCCAAAATTGACCTTCCCCCTCGAAGCTACGACGAATACGTAGAGCGCTCGTAAATAGAATGGGAAGTCTGTGTTTGTTTCACAGATTCGACGAGAAAGCTATTGCTGGGGTAACTCAATTCTGTAGTCGATCCCCTACACGACCCTTTCGGGGAGACGTAAGACCCGGGTACGGGGGACTCGGAAATCCCCGACGAGGTCGTCAAAAAAATGACGAGGCCGAGCCTGCATTTTGACGAGGCCTCCCGCTGCAGACATCCCACGAAACTCCTGCTCGTCAAAATCCGAGGCGCGGTCGTCAAAAAAAAATGGCGAACCCGAGTCCTGGCAAACCCGGGTCTTACGCTCCCCCGACCCTTCCTGCTCGCCGCTGGCCGGTACTGGGCCACCTCGGACCCCCAGCCTGCTCCCATCGGGGGCGGCAAACGTGGACGAGCGATCCATGGATTCCCTCCTCCTCCTCCTCCCCCTCCTCCTCCTCCTCCTCCTCCTCCTCCTCCTCCTCCTCCTCCTCCTCCTCCCCCTCCCCCTCCTCAGACCCCCAGCCTGCTCCCATCGGGGGCGGCAAACGTGGACTGGCGATCCATGGATTCCGGTGCCGCCTCGCTCGGCGGCGGAGATCCGCGGCTTCCCATGGAAACGGAACCCGTCGCTAATCTCAGGTCGGGCATGTCCTCCCACAGGCGGATTATGCACGAAAAATAAGAATCGTCGACCAACTCGAACAATCGTAAAACATAGTATCGAAATCGTCCCCGGTGCCCTCCCCAGAATGCGGCTGGTGCCGCCTCGCTCGGCGGCGGAAATCTGCGACTTCCCATGGAAAAGGGACCCGTCGCTACTCCACGCCCCCTTGATCCGTGTTTGCGATCGCCTGACACACGGGCACGGGCTGCTGTCGGCCTTGCCTTTGGACCAAAGGCAAGGCCGACAATGGTGGCCCCGCGGCGACGTCCTCCCCCCGGAAGGCGGGGGCCGCTCGCGAAGAGCGGGGCGGGCCAAAAAGGTCACTGCAACCACCTGGCAGACGCGCTGCAGCGGAGTTCTGCGTGGATCCTGCCAATGCAGAACCCCGAAACGGCGAGCGAAAACATAACGAATATCACGTGGATTTCGTTGCAACCTTGGCTCCTGGCCAAAACAAACATCCGCACGAAACTCACTCCGAAATCCGGAACGAAATCCTCCAGGACCATCCGGGCCCATCCCACTGCTTTCCGAACGGAATCCGCTCTGCGATGTTGGCGCCATGACATAGGGGGGGGAGAACCGAAAGACGCGGTCAACGGATCGTCTGAAATTCCCAGCGCCTCCCAGCGCTCGAAGCGGCCACACTGGAGCAGGAACTGACCGTCCCGTCATTCCTATGCGCCTGCCACGAGATCTCCTTAGAACAAAAGAACGGTGCGATAACACAGCCATGATCTTAGAACATGCAGCCGGCGTTTGACCCACGACGGATTCAGGCAGACATGTCTGAACAACACTTTGTGCAAACCACAAGCGGTGTCTCTTCTTACAAGGTCTATTCAAAACGAGGGTCACAGGCTGCCAGGAGAGAGCCTCCACTCAGTCCGGAGCCAGGGTTCAACGCAACTACCTGGCTCACTGCTGGGAGGCGTAGGACCTCACGCGCTGCAGGCACTTCGCCATGTCCCTCTGCACCACTGTCCGGGTCTTGGCTTCGACGTTCGACTTCATGAGCCCTGCGAGGGTGGGGACGTCCTTGTAGCCCCAGGCGGTCAGCTGGTCCAGAATCTCCTGTGCTGGCGTACCAGCGCGCTCCAGCCACTCCGGAATCAGCTCGATGGTCATGAAGCACGGGGGGTACTTGGTAAACAGGGTATTGGAGCCTCGGATGAACCTGCCCTCGTAGCCCTCGATGTCGACCTTGGCGATCACGATGGCCTTCATGGCTGGGTTGTGATAGAGCATATGGTCACCGGTGGTGAGAGGTACAGAGAACTCCTTCACCACAACCTTCTGGGCGTACTTCTGTGCCTTCTTGCCCGGGTGGAACAAGTCCTGCAACTGGTCGTCGGTCATGTTGGTGAAGGGCTTGTTGCCCTTGACGGCAGAGCCGCCCTTGTTGACAGGGTTGAGTGACATGGTCACCGTCCTCGGATCCCCGGACGCGCCCACGGCGTAAGGGTACACGTCCACGTTCTTCAGCCTGCTGTCCAAGATGCCTGCCACGAGGTGGTCCGCGGTGGGCGGCATCCCCTCCACGGCGAGCACTCGTCCGCCGCCTCCGAGGCAGTCCGCCAAAGGAATGGCGAAGGTGCCGATGTTGGCCCCGATGTCGAGGAAGTTGCCCACGGCGCCGCTCTCGCGGTAGAGGCGGCACAGCTCCTTGACGTGCCGGGTCTCCCACCTCGGTAGTTCAAAGATGGGGTCCTGACCTCCTCCTCCTCCTCCTCCTCCTCCTCCTCCTCCTGCTCCTCCACAGGAAGGGATCCAAGGGTGGCTTCACATCCTTTGAGGCACATCGTCCTCAAGACCCCCTCCCTCAGGACCCCAGCACTTGAACCCCCGACCGCCCGTTCCCCGCGAGGAGCTCGGCGGACACCATCGAGTCCTCCCAGCGGCCGTACGCGGCGATGCTGAGGTTGTAGTCGCCCACGAGGCTCCGGACCTCGGCGTGGTGGAGCGTGCTCGCCTCCACGGTGCGAGGGCCGTTGGCCCAGGCGGCGAGGTCCGCGGGCCTCGGGCTTCCCACCGGGTTTTCCTCGCTCGCCCGGGCGAGGCCCCGCGGGGCCGGCGGCGACAGCGTGAGGGCCGCGGCGATGGGCCCACTGGCGGCGCATGCCGCGGCGGCAAGCCGGAGGGGGGCCATCGTCGGGCTCGGCCGCCCACGTGCGCGCGCGGGAGGGGCGTTTCGCGGCGAAACGCCGCCCGGCCACGGAACGGGTACGGTCTCTGGCGGGCCGCCTGGGCCCAAACGGCTACGGTCAGGTCGGGCAGGTCCTCCTACAGGCGGACTCTGGAGGCAAAATCAAACAGAGTCAAGCCAGAATCAAGAGTGGCCGAGCACGGCAGGAAGATCGCCCCCGTGCCATTTGTTGACTGCCTTTGGATATCCCTCCTGGAGGGGGGCACGCCCGACGCGAGGCTGCGGCGGACCATCTTGGTCCAAAGGGGTTCTCAGCATCTGCGCGGGCGGCCCGGGTGGGCAAGCCGGGGCGCCTCGCCGCTGCTCGGCACACATGCGAGGAGTGCGCCCGGCGGCGGGGCCGAAGCCAGCTGCATTCCATGGGCGAAGAGCGGTACAGGCATACCGTACAAGAAGAATGCGGGATGAGGACCCTCCCCCTCCTCCTCCTCCTCCTCCTCCTCCTCCTCCTCCTCCTCCTCCTCCTCCTCCTCCTCCTCCTCCTCCTCCTCCTCCTCCTCCTCCTCCTCCTCCTCCTCCTCCTCCTCCTCCCTCCTCCTCCCTCCTCCTCCCTCCTCCCTCCCTCCTCCCTCCTCCCTCCTCCCTCCTCCCTCCTCCCTCCTCCCTCCTCCCTCCCTCCTCCTCCTCCTCCTCCTCCTCTCCTCCTCTCCTCCTCCCTCCTCCCTCCTCCCCCTCCCCCCTCCTCCCTCCTCCCTCCTCCCTTCTCCCTCAGTCGCCGTGACCTGCTCGAGGTGTTTGGGTGCAGGCCACAGTGGCCTGCGACACCTCCGCGGTCGCGCGACCAAGGGCGCCGCCACGCCGCGCGGCCCCAATTCGGATCCAGCCTGGCACCGCCGCCGCCGCAAGGAGCGTGCCAACGCACGCGTGCTCCTGCGGCTCGGCGCGGCTGCCGGCCTCCTGGACAGGCACCACAGCAGCGGCATGATGGCGCTTGGGGATCGTGCATCGTCGCGATCGACAGGCCATACGACAACCTGGCGCTGCTCCTTCGTGAAGTGCAGCCAGGACAACTTCGCGTCGAGAACGACATGCAGAGGCTGCGGAGCGCCCAAGGGAGGAGGAGGAGGCCAGAAGGACAAGGCCAAGCCCCTTGGAGGAAGCGCTCTGCTTCAGCAGAGAGAGGTGGTCAGCGGAGAGGAGCTGCGGCAGGAGACCACGGTGATGCAGGAGCAGGAGTACCAGCTGCCTCGGGCAACATCGGCATCCTGCCCATGCTGCCGAAGCAGGCGCAGCATCACCCCAGCTGGCTGACCGCCCCGCCGATCGCTGCAGGACTCAAACGCCACAGGGAGTCCTTGCGCAAAGCGATGGTGGCGGCGGCAGAGGCGGCACGGGCGATCCGCAGCATGCCGCCGGAGCAGGTCTCCCCGCAGCGCCTTAAGCAGGCGGAGAACGAGTACGCGGCACTCCACTGCCAGGTCATCCTAGCTAAGGACCCGACCGCGCGCATGGAGAAGCAGGAGCAGTTCGTCAACAAGGCCAAGAAGGTGCTGACGGCCGCCAAGGACGCCCAGTTCGCCGCGGAGCTGGCGGCAGAGGCGTACAGGCGGAGACAGCCAAGGCCCTGAAGGAGTACCAGCACGCGCAGGAGTTCATGGCGCAGATGGCACAACTCGAGCACTGGTGCGCCTACCCGCCAGAGGGAGGGCCCCCCCCCGCCGCTGCGGAGCCAGCCGCGCACAAGTTCGCCAGGGAGGCGGCGGTGCCGGACGACAGCGACGAGGAGATAGAGGACGCCGACGACGATGTCTACGGTGGAGGCTCGTCGGGACAGCAGCAGATGCCAGTGAGGCCAGCATGGTCACACGCGGGAACGGCCCAAGAGCAGAACCGCGTGGCGAAGCTCGAGACACAGATGGGGTCCATGCAGGACACGCTGGGGCAGATCCTTGCGGCGCTGAATGGGCAGCCCCTCCAAGGCCAACCACCGCAGGCCGCAGTAGCGGAGGACATCCCTGTTCCAGGTGGTGGGAAGCTGCCCGCCAGCCAGAAGAGCGCAGGCAAGAGTGCCAAGTCCCCGGCCAAGGCGTTTGCGGAGCCTCCGCCGCCGGGCCAACGAAGGCTGGCCCTTCCGTCAGGGGGTGCAGCGACGGACAGTGCGGAGGGAGCCGTCAAGGTCATGAAGGACGAGAACGGCGACCCAGTCGTGGTCGAAGTGGCGGCCGCCCGCGCCCCACTGCAGGAGCTGCAGCAGTGCCCGACGCCATCCGCCGACGAGAACGCCATGAGGGACGTCAGGGTGGGGCAGCGGCTGGACGCCAACGGGCGGCCGTTGGGCTAGTTTACCCGGGCCAGCCCCCGCTACCGTCTTCAGCGGCGACGGAAGCGACAGGGGGGTGTGGCCCGGTAGACAGCGCCGCCACTTCATCCTCACCTTCAGCGGCTCTGCCAAGGAGTGGCGCGTGTACGCCAATTCCAGACGCAGCAGCCGCCATGGCCGTGCTGCGGGCAGCATGACCAATCTCCATCGACAAGGGGTTCGTCGAGCATGGAGATCAGTACCTTCACAGTTCCACCAAGGGAGTACTTTCCAAGTGCTCGCGTCTGCAGGGCGATTTTGGTCCCAGCCTGTTCGAGACGCTGCTCATCTACACGAATGGCTCAGGCGGCAGCGCGCATGGCCATCTACCTGGGCCGCCAGCCTGGGCCTTCGTCGTGATGGGCTACACGCACGACGACGAGTTCGTGCTCATCGGCACGATGGGGGATGCGATGCCGACGCTGGGCGACCAGTTCAGCCAGCCGTCAGGAACCGCAGAGATCTGCGCGATGATTGCCGCGATCCTCTGGCTCTTGCAGCTCCAGACGGCGGTGGACGAGTCGGGCATGCACACGCAGCTGCCAGTGATCAGCTTCTACACCGACAACAACTACGTGGTCGACATCGGGACAGGAGGAGCCGCGCTGGAGCACTACGCGCTTTACGCCAGCTTCTTGGACAGCATCGTCAAGGTGCTGAGGCACAGCGCGGAGGACATCCTCTGGTCGCACGTCAGCGGCCACATGGCGGACCCGTGCAACGAGCTCGCCGACGCCGTCGCCACGCTGGCCAGAGGCGGCATCATCGCGTGGCCCGACGGCTTCGACCTCTGGGAGCGAATGGAGCAGGTGCTGCCGCAGGCGCCCTGGCTGTGGCCCAGTGTTGCCCCTCAGGCCGAGAGACTTCAATGCCCGCTCCCAGGCCACCCCGTCCCTGACCTCGAGGCCCCGCCCCAAGGCCTCCAGAGCTTCCTCCTGAAGCACCTGTCTCAGAGTGACAACGGCTCGCAGGGGGAGGGCCGAGGCAAAAGGGGGGGAGGGGGGGGGAACCCAGCAAGCCACGGAAGCCACGGTTAGCTGTGGCCAATGTCCTGCCGCTCGACCCCAGGAAATCCAGGGTGAGCAAGGGGAAAGCCTTTACAGGTGTCCTCATCCCAGGAAGGATGCAGTCCCTCGCGCAGCAGTTCGGGGACGCGGGCTACCACCTGGTCGGCACGCTCGAGACCAGGGTCCCCGCCGAGTCTGTCGTGAGAGTGGGCCACTACCTGGTGCTCCACGCCGCCGCCGCGGAAGGCGGGCGCTTCGGGGTCTCGCTGTGGGTCAACGCGGCAGGCCGGCCGGGCGAGGGCGGCCCCGCCCTGCAGGAGCAGCACGTGGCGATCGTGCACAAGGGGCCGACCCGCATGCTGGTGTGCATCAGGGCGCCCTTCCTCCACTGCGACATCCTAGTTGGACATGCCCCGCGCAGCCGCAGGCCCCCAGGGGAGATCAGGGACTGGTGGGAACACACCCGAAGGGTCGTCGACAAGAGGCCCGACCCCAGCCCATGGCTCTTCTCCCTGGTCGACGTCAACGCTCAGGTGGGGTCGATCCCCACGGTCGGCATCGGAGAGTACGGCGCGCAGAAGGAGAACCTCCCAGGGGCCTGCCTCCGCAAGTATATCGAGCGCACCGACTCCTGCCTGCCCTTCACGCTGGCCCAGTCCAGGAACGACGTCTACGCTACTTGGACCCCGTCGGGGGCCAGATCTGCCGAGGGCGGCAAGCACATCGACTACATCGCGGTACCGCAAGAGCTGCTGCAGCAAGTGGGCGGTCAAGGGGTCAACGAAAACATCGAGCTCGCGGTCTCCCACAGGGACCACGCAGTGGTGGACTTGGAGGTGCAGCTCTCACAGGGCCTAGAGGGAGAAAGACCGCCCAGGCGGCAGCGCCTCAAGGTGGACAAGACCAAGCTCACCGCGTTCTCCTGCCAGGTGGGGTTCGACGAGCTGATGGGCCAGGTGCAGCACCTGGCAGCGAACGTCCACCCCAACGACCACGCGGACTACCTCGACGGCCAGGTTCTGAAGGCGGCGGAGGAGGCTTTTCCGCTCGAGCCCACGGCGCCGAAGCCGACATGGGAGTCGCCAGTGACACAGGACCTCGGCCATGTCAGGGCGCTGCTGCTAAGGACCACAAGGAGGGCCAGAAATCGACTGGGCCACATCCTGCCGGTGGTGACGACGGCAGCATGGGCCAACTGTTGCGACCAACTGCCGTGGCACAACTTGAGGACAGCACAGTGGCAAGCATCGAGACGAGGCAGGGTCACGCGTGACAAGGTCGTGGCCCCGTGCCGCACCGCGCTGCAGGACCACCGCCAGGTGCACGACTTCTCGCCCATGATCATGGGCCAGCAGCACCCTGCAAAGCTAAAGAAGCACGGGAGAAGGTCGACGCAGCGTCCCCGGGGCAGCACCTCGAAGCACGCGGCCTTCAACGAAGTGCCCGACTTCGACAAGGCAGCTGAAGAAAGGGGAGGACCAGGCGACAGCGACATGGGCGCGATGGCCAGCGCCTAAAGGCATTGCCGCCAGTGACCCGCCACCCTCGCGGACCGACCGCGCGGACAGCAACGACCTGGAGGAGCTAGACGCGGCCAACGACCATCACGTCGAGGGCGAGGCTGGGCATGCTGGTGGCAGATGGTGTTTGGGCCAGAGCGAAGGCATGCTGCAACCCAAGCACGACGAGCTCTTGTTAAGTCAAGCCGTCGGGGAAGCATCGGACAACCTGAGTCGGACAACCACCAG